TCTTGAAAGATTTATAAGTCAGGTGCAATAATAATGGCATAGCCAGAACTGAACAATGAGTAGTAATTCAGTCGCGTAATGATTTATGGTAATGAAGAACCATTATACCACGTGATTTGTTTTTCTTCTAAGTTCAGATTCGATGTTGGAATAATCGTGATGAAGTCAAAAAAATTAACGAGTTCATTAAATATATAATCTATTATGCGTCAATCTATTGATTGATTACGTGACATTTCCTCAGCAACGCTCCATAAATGGTAAAAAAAATAATCGAATAATTTTTTGATAGATAAAATTACAATATTCGTGGATTTTTGATTGATATTCTTCAATCAAGTTATTCGAAACGAACTCTTCAAGGAACACCCGTCGCTCATTTGCGAAGGACGGAACTTACCAGCTGCCTTTTTGGCTGCGTACAAGTTCGCCTCCTCCTGTGCTTTACCTATGTTTTTCTTGTAGCGTATCCTCTTGTTGCCGAACCAATTAGAAACCTGCAAAAAAGATAAACGATGCAAGATCATTAAGAAATTTTTAAAAAGATTTAATATTGAAAATAATATTATCAGAATTATCAATACTTATCAATATTTAAAATATCATTAATCATTAAATATATATTAATGATTAGATAGATAAGATACAGATCTTTTAAAAAAAGAAAGCTTGATATTGCAAAATGTTTAAAACAAAAATCTTAAAAATTTTATTTTACATCGCCATTTAAGATAAAATTCATTCAATAATTTTTTCTTATTAATTTTACAATTAATTAAATATTATTTAATGGTTTTGAGTATGTATAAAAATATAAAAAATGGAATGATTCATTCTCAAATTCTAAACTATGAAATTGACCATATAAAAAAAGAAATAAAATGATCATAACCAGAATTTTAATGTTAATGACAATCAGAAATGTATATTAATAATAACTTAACAACAGATATCTTAAAATAATAATTCACATTATTGTGGAAAAATTTTTTCTTGTATTTTACCTGACTCACGGTGATTCCACATTTTCGTGCGAGTTCTTCTTTAGCTTCTTCGCTTGGATATGGATTACTCAGGTGTGAATAGAAATACTCGTTGAGAATTTCAGAGGCTTGTTTGCTAAAGTTTCGTCTTTTACGCCTGTGATAAAAAGCAATTTATTTTCTCTTTGCACCGATTACTTTTCATATGTTAAATTTAATAAAAATAAACGATTAATTTTTACACGATGAATACTTGCCTTGCATCGAGGAATCGACTCCTCAAAATCATCACAGCCTCACAGGTAGACTGTTTCAGTTGCATTTGAATGCTGGAGAACTTCTTATGAATAATCTGAACCATCCTCTCGATCTCTTTTGGCGTGATTGGCCTGGTACGACTTTGTTCCCTCAATAAATTCATTACGTGAGTTGTGAACTCGTTACACGCCTGGAAAAAAATTCAAATTTATTTTGTTGCTATTTTCCTTTTACTTCAAGATCTTTTTCTTTAATCTTTACAATTTTGTGTAAAGAATTAAAAGAAAAGTTTGTTGAATGTTAACTTTGTTATATTACAGTGTTATTTAAACATAAGTATTTTAACTTTTATTATTTGCTGATAGCTTTTCTAATTTTTTTTTTTTTTTTTTACAGGCAAGAATCGTCGACAAGCACTCAATTAAAAAAAAGAATAAGAAACTCCATCGTCAAAAAAAATTTCGTAAGCTTCCTTCAGATATCTTACGAAGAAAAGAGTAATGTCTTGGCATCAAGAGTGACGTTTCTCAAGCAAGAATGAACGAAACCGCAAAAGGAAACGAAGAAAAAATGATTCGTTCAAAGAAGCAGAATGAAGCAGAAAACGAAAGAAAAAAAAGAAGAAAAAAGGAAGAAAAACCTATGACGATCGAGGATAAAAAAGCGAGAAGAAAGACGCGTACGTATAATGCATTATTCCTGGTGGCTGCTCGGTTTAAGGGAAAAAGGACTTTGCTCGATATCAGTATTCGAGACGAGCACGCTACCTTCGGATAGGGAGCGAGGGAAAGGACACGAAGAAGAAAGGGAGAATGGAAAGTGGTAGAAAGAGGAAAGACGTAGAACAAGGGTAGAAGAGTATGGAGGAGGGTGGATTTTCCTGAGGGAAGGCGATAGAAGAAAGAGGTTGGGGAGAGAAGTCGGACAGGGTGGCTCGCAATTTCGAAATGGATTCCACTCTGCCGCCATACCCCGGCGCTTTCCTCGTCTTTCTTCCATCTACCTCGTTTCTCTTCGTTCTTCTTCTTTCCTTTTTGCTCTCTTTATTTCTCTCTCTCTTTCTCTTTTATCTTTGCACGAGGCGTACCACCAACTTGGTGGGGTGGATCAGCTTCATTCCTGGCTTGCTGTTCGCGAGGACGAGGGGCTTGGGACGATCTCGAGTAGGTGGATTGGATGGAAAACCCGCAGAGAATTATGCCCTTCCTTACGAACTTTTCTCCAATTTTTAAATTATCGTCCAAATAAAAATATACGAATTTTTTTTTGAATATTCGTAATGAGAATCCTTTGGGTGAATGATGGACGATGTATTGTCTTCCAAGTATCGAGTGAAAATCGATCATACAATAAATACAGATTTTGGAATCCACTGTTCGATACGAGACACGATTTAGAAAATATAAAAAATTGTTATTGAAGATATATTCTGTTTTTACAAAATTTTTATACAAAAGATAAATATATTATTTTTTATCGATAATCTATTCAAGTTTTCCAATTATATATATGAAATAATATAACAGATAAAAATACAAACAAATTTAAAAGATTTTGGAAAGTTAGATAAATTTAGATGTATATCAATTTTTAAAATTTCCAAATATATATATGGAGATTCTTATTTCACATATATGTGAATAAAATCGAATCAATTCGTTAATTTTACCATATGGATACTTGTACCATAAATATGATATAAACGCTGATATACTAAGTACTTCTAAAGGTTATACTGCATTTACATCGACATATACTTACATCATAGAACTTTTAAACAATAGAAGATGAAACAAAAGTCAAACATCTACAATAAAAGCAACTTCTTCAATTACAATTATAAATTTATTATAATATTTATTTAAATCACAATTCTTCTGCAATATAATTAAAGATAACATTTGTAATATTTGTTTAATAACATACGATAGATATCAGCTCAAACAAAATTTCAATATATTAAAGAAGAATTAAAAATCGTTAAATATAACAGAACAAGAATAAATGAGACCGTACATGATTATAGGGAAAAACTTATAATAACTAAGATATACGTGAAAAAGTAAAGGAGTATCATGGAAGACGAATGAAAATTGCGTAGGATTTTAGAAAAACGATAGAATACAATTATATTAAAATAAAATTATTATTTTAATATAATATTAAAATATGATTAGTGTTAAACGCAATAAAATAAATATATAATTTCTTTAATTCAAATTTTTCCCAAAATGAATGAAACCGTACATGATTATAGGAAGAAACCTATAATGAGTAAGATATAGATGAAAAAGGAAAAAAGTATGGAAGACGAACGAAAATTGCGTATGATTTTAGAAAAACGATAGAATACAATTATATTAAAATAAAATTATTAATTTAATATAATATTAAAATATAATTAGTATTAGTGCAATATATAAATATACATTACAATAAATATATAATTTCTATAATTCAAATTTTTCCCAAAATGAATGAAACCGTACATGATTATAGGAAGAAACCTATAATGAGTAAGATATAGATGAAAAATTAAGTAAATGTTATGGAAGACGTGCAAAAAAGATGTGTGAAATAGAGAGACGATACAATATTATTATATTAAAATAATATTAATTAATTATTAGTATTAAAATAAAATTAGTGTTAAGTGCAATAAATAAATAAAAATTAAAATAAAT